TGTTTCCACGTTAACATCCTATTCTGATGTTGTGGTTCCTCCTCAATGTTTGGCTGGAGCCAACCTGGCTGGGTAGGTATTGGTTAAAGCTCCTCTGTCATGGCAGTTCTTAAAGAGCACAGAGACGCAGATGGTAGGGCCTGAGAAAACTTGCAGTTCCCAGGGTAGTCCTGTTGAATGAGGTCTCTCAGTCTTTCTTCATATTGTTAGCCTACGATGTTTTTTATTCTATTATTATCATGTATCCTGGACTTGCTTTACAAAATAAGTTAAGAGAAGGAATACCTATCCTTACTGTATGTTCTTTTTGTAGATTTAGTTTTTAATGAACTGTCTGAAATATATGTGTCGTTCTTAGCATGTAACAATAAGGAAGGTATAGCAGCAGGTACGAACGCCAGCACATTCCCCTGCAGGGCTCTGTCAAGCATCTGATTTTCTATATTTTTGTTTCCTTCTGTTTAGGAATGTGTGTGTGTATTGGGGTGGGGTGTAGGAGTTGGAGATAGTGATATCTAAAAAGAAGCTCTCCAGTTGTGGTTTCCATTGTTTAGTATTTCTGCTTGACTGGATATATCAATTGTACCTAGATGATTTGAGTAGATTTTTTGTTCAGATACAGTGACTTTAAGGTGTAACAGACTGAAAGGAAGTGTTGCTTATAATATCTGGAAGTTAACAGAACTTTTTGGGGTGAGAACTCTGTATCTGATGACTACTAGAGTGAAAGTCCTCACAGTTTCTGTACTGGTGGCCAGCTTTATTAACCTGTGAGTATATGACCTGAATCCAGCCCCCGTGTGATGAGTCACCTCAATGTGTTGAGGCTTGCCCAGTTGAACAGGAAAAAGGGAACGAGCTGGCAGGGAGGGGCTGTTTTTGGAGTGGCTGAATGTTCCTGCTGCGTGCGCATTTCTCCTGTCCTGAACTGCCTTTTTTTCCTCTGTGGGTGAGGTATCTGCTCTATTGGCTCACTCTTCTTTTTCTCCCTCCTACTCAGAGTAGGGGAAGGGCTGGATTACACATGCTTAATCGCTTTATAAAATAAGGTTGACCTAGTTCCATAGAAACTCAAGCCCCTTTAACTGTTTAGAGATACCAGCCAAAGAAGTGAATATCGGTTGCAGGAATTACTCTTTGCCTTCCATTGAAAGAGAGAGAGAGAGAGAGACCTATTCATAAGCAGTTATTTATGTGTAGATATTTAATAAAGATTAACACCTCATTAACCTTTTAATGTATTATCAGAGAATATACTACAATTGGTTGACATGCTATGCGGTATGATAGGAAAAATGGTGAATAAATATTATACAGATAGAGTACAGCAATATGAACTCCCTCTCCTCCCCACCCCGTCATCCCTAGGGCTGTTATCTTTGTGACCTCAGATAAATCATTTAACTGTTAGCCTCATATTGACTCATCCATAAAATGGGAGGGAGAGGGAAGGCCAGATTATTACTACTGTTTTGATTCTTAAGGTTATTTTGTTTACTCTATCAGAAATATTTATCTCCTTGGCATTTTTAAATTCCTTTTTTTCTGTGATCACCCCCCTCATATACATACATTTTTAAAATTCTTTTTGAAGTTAGCAGTTTCTCTTGTCTATAAAACCTTCTATACCTAAAATACGCGTTGGTATGTGTATGCAACATTGAAGGCATGTCTCCCCCTTGCTGATGGGGCTACAGGCTGCATCTCAGAACCTTAATGGTTTGAGGAAGCTAGGCTGTGACAGCAGCATGTAACAACTGTACACACTGTTACAGTAGAAACACGCGTCTGTTTAATCCACCTGTCGAGATGAAATTTGAAGAATAACACAAAGTGACATGGAATGTAGTTTTAGTGCTTTTGTTTGTTTTGTTGTTGTGGAGATCCAGATTAGCAGGAGAATAATTTTTTAAAAGTAATAAGAGGTCAACAGTTTCTTCCAGTTCACTCTAGTAAACTTGAAAACAATGAAATCTGTGACCAATATTGAAACATACTTCAGATAAAACTCTGTGTTCTCTTGACAGACTGCCATCAAGAAGAATAACCCACGGAAATATCTGCGCAGTGTAGGAGATGGAGAAACTGTAGAGTTTGATGTGGTTGAAGGAGAGAAGGTGAGGGACATCGTGGGTGGCATCAAAGCGTGCTAGCACACAGTTTTGTTGCACAATAGATGGTCTCTCAGCCCTCTGAAGTGACATTATTCTGGAATTTTTGGATAATAGGAGGAAGTGACTTTTAAGGAGAAATATTTTTTATTATTGACTGTTATTGTAAACATTCCTCAATATACTGAAAAAGTCATTTTAATTTCTCAATAAATGATGAACTCTGTTTATGGAAGGAAAAGCTAATTTCTCAAAATTTTAAAGTAAGTTTTATTTTTGTACCAAATATATGTATTTAAGAATAGATTAAAATTTAACTTTTATGGCATTAAAAAGATTTAATAGATAAACGCTTTGGAGAGAAAGATTTCTTTTTATCAGAATAAAGTTTTCACACTGATGGGTAAACATTTCTGCTTATAAATTCAAGTTAAATTCATTGTATTTTCTCTGTTTGGCTTGGATTTTGGGAAGCTGAAGGCATCGTGATAGACGGTACCAGCTTTGTTCAGGTGAATTCAATCTAAGAAGCTGATGGATCATCTTGAAGACTATCTACAGAATTTTTAAATGCTGTTTTATGTTTAATCCCAATATTAGTAATGTCCTTTATGCTTTGTTTTTAATCAACACTCTATTATAGATATCAGTAAAACAATATTGACTAAGATTAAAAACGTCTTAAAACTGCATTTGGTACAATTGCCATGGCAGCCGAATTATAGAGTAACTGAATGAAAGGCTGGTTAACTCCCATGCACGAGTCCTTTCCACACACATGCACACCATTCCATAGTCCATGTTCTTAGAAACTCTCAGACTGTTCTAAAAGAAAACCATTTCATTTGATACAGAAATTTAAGTGGTCGTCTTTACCGGTGTGGTACCTAGGGTGTCTTACAAATCTCTTGGGAATTTCAAATTACCCGCTAGCTAATGCTGGCCTGTGATAATCTCTCATATCCTATCCAGTTCTTAAAGATGTGTTTTGCCAGATTGATTTCACTTCTTCATGTTTTCAGAACTTGGAATTCTACAAACTGATCTGTAGGGTGTGAGATACACTCTTTTGAATCTCCTTTATCCTAATTTTTTAATGTTTTTGAAGTATTACTTTATCCATTTGTCCATATGAGGATAAGAACTCTGTCTCAAGGGTAATAGGAAAGTCTAAAGAAAAACTACATGTGTGGAGACTGTGTTACTAAATCAAGGACTTCTTTCTTCCTGTTGCAGCCAACGTGGGAGAAGTTTCACTTTTCAATAATTTAGTGCTAGACAGAGCCGTGTGAGCCCATGAGTACAGATTCTCTTGGTACCTCTTAGAGTAACATAAATTTCAACATATTCCAGAAAAATAACAGTATCTCAATTCTTTTCCATATAGGAATATTCTTTTTGGTATAGCACTACCTCTCCTTTTATAGTTGTGTTGTATTTACTAGTATGTGCTTTTTAAAGAGGTACATACTGCTCTTGAACTTGCCATAACCAGACAAGAAAGCAAAGCTTGGGTTGTGTGAACATACAGGCCATATATGTTTAAATCAGGACATCAAGCACCTTGTTCGCCTTGTTCGAACTTGGGTCTGCTTTTGAGATCACAGTCGGAATTCTTAGTATGTTCTGCCAGTCCTATACTCTACCTGTCCAAGGCTGTTCTTTGGCTTAACTTATCTTTTTAATTTTGAGGCCATCTTTATTTTCTTTCCCAGGGTGCAGAGGCAGCCAACGTGACTGGCCCAGATGGAGTTCCCGTAGAAGGGAGTCGCTATGCTGCTGATCGGCGCCGTTACAGACGTGGGTACTATGGCAGACGCCGTGGACCTCCCCGGAATGTATGTTGTGTCTGTTACTAATCACTGATTGAAAAATCTTCACGTCTGAAATTAAGTGAATATACCTGGAGCAGATAAATGCCATGTTTTCTCCTGGAGACAGGACAAATGATTTTTTTTTTCTTCGAGGGGAAATTTTTAGTGCTCAGAATTTATGCATAGCCACTAGTCTCGTTGGAAACTTGCTATTCAGAAATTTTATCAATTAGGATATATTTGGCTGCAAGTAACAGACATTTAGTTTTCTTTTAACAGGCAGACTGACTTAAGGTAGGCAGTGCTGAGGTTGTCAGAGAGGCTTTCTTCATTTGGCTCTTTGGCCGGAACCCAGTCATGGAACATGCACTGGCAAAAGAGTGGGGTTTCCGTCATGGACCTGAGCCTGTTGTTCACTCCTTGGTGCTGACGGTGTTGACCTCTAAGAAAACCAGCATTTGGTTGGCAAGAAAGAGTGAGGACTAGCTTGTGTACAGACAGTAAAAGTGCTGGCTACAGAAGTATTAAATAATTTACCTTGATTAAGTAGCTATTTTATTTAGCCTAGCATTTTCCCATTATTTCAAAGTAAAGAAGCAGTAAGTAATGCTCTGGATTTTTAGTTCTTTAGATTGGTCCCAATTCAGGTGAAAAAGTTGACCAGCATTATCTGGCTGGAGCTTAATTAGGAGGCTCAATTTGAAGAATTGTTCTCAAGGCACCCAAAGTGAACCCAGTTCATTTGTGATCAGGAGGACCTTGTTAGATTTCAATCAGTTTTTGATGTTTTTAGCATTAGAACAAGGGATTGGCACCACAGCCTAAAACTTGGGGTGCTTTGAGAGCATGAGATTGTACCTATCTATATCATCCAAAGAAAAACTTTTGAAAAATCTCAGCAGAATAAAATACCTGCAGATTGAGAATGACATATTTCTATTTTAGTAGGTTTATAGAAGGTATACTTCCTGCTTACCTAAATGCTTTTCCTCTTTATTTTGTCATCCTCACACCCTGCCCAAATTGATTTCATCAGATTCCTTAGGACTTATGTGTGTTTCAGTATTTTTCTTATCCTTGTTTTTGCTTATCCTATTTGATTTTTGATAATAAGGTGGGGGAGGGGTAGAAATGAGCTACT